AGCGTATTGCTATCACATTCTTGCACTTAAGGTTAAATCGTACACCATATCAATAAGAACAAATGGTGACCTCTTACTTTTCTCTTCAGACTCGGGAGCAGGGACTGTTTCAGTGCTGGAGGACGTCTTGTCAAGACCTATATAAAATACACACAAGGAAATCTTCCTTAAGAATCTACTTTTCATTTTGACATACAAATTAGGTTAAGAAAAAAAACAAATGAGGAAAATTCTAAAATGGCATTAAAAATGAATATTAACGATAGCAGCCAGGCAACAAACATATAAATTTTGTCCTAGTACGGTTATTTTACCATCCTATTCTGGTCAGAGTTCTAATGCCTCACAGTTTTTAGATAACCGGAGGACCAATAACAAGAAACCATCCAGCTGCTAAACATGAGCAAACAAATACCAATGACAATCAGTTACAAAATAATTACCAGACACAAGTTTTTGTTGCTCATCCCTCAATTCTTGACACTCTTCCTGTATAGTCCCATTAAGAGGTTGATCTGATGGAGGTACTAGAGCTGTTGATAACAAATTCAGGTGAGAGAAGTTCACATCTATTTTGGTATCTTCACTAAGTCCTGCTGAGTATATTGATAAGTAATTTATTATTAAGAAACTAAACTTTCACATTTAAACTGTATGTCTGAGCCTATAATAAATTAAAAATACGGTAAATGATCTTAAGGTGGTACAATCAATAAGGTGGTGATCGCAATTTTGATTTATCAAATTAATTAAGTCTTACTTGTTATAACAATAATAATCAAAAGGTTTACACAAATCTGACTTGATATTGTCTGTTACCTCTTTTTCATTCAAGAAGTGGTTGCAGGCATTGACCATAATGTTTTGAGATACACATTTACACTCAAACCTTAAACCTTAAAATAAGGAGCTGCTAAATGGCTAAACCAGAAATTTTTAATGTTTTTGAATGGTTTTACTTGTTAGATCTTAAATTGTATATGATATTTCTTCTGAGAAGGCTCTAGGAGGGAGCTTATATCTGTGAGGGATTATAATTGCATGTACTTCTTTGTTAATACAAGTAGATGGACCTTATAATAACCAGGAGGGGGCCTTAAATTAGTGGAGGGGGGGACTTTAATAAGCAGCAGTTGACAGTAAAAACAACACTAAGAGTACCATTCAAAATTAGCAAGGAAGATTTCAGGGGCTGGGACTTCAATTGATTAATGTATCCCATACATATTGTATGATACATGTGGCTACAGCAACTTGTGCAAAAATCAAAAATAGATTGAGTAATGTTAATGTACAATTAATTTACACACATTGAAATTACATACCGGGGGTATCTGGGATATCTGAATCATTAACAGTTGCAACCTCACTAGGTTCTGTTTCTTGATTTCCTGTTAATCCGCAAATAGCATTTATGAAAAAAGAAGAATCATAATTGATTACTGGTATACACTGAAAAATTGTGTTTTATTATACAAATACACTTATTGGATTTATGGTGCATTTGACTTGTTTCATCAATTTGGGAAAAAGTGCAGAAGAATTTAAAAGCTCTTTCTCTGTTTTGTCTGTAATTGCCAAATATCATCCATATACTGTCAATGTTGTACTGTTAGCATATTATGTGACAGATAGATTTGGTATTAACATTGTTGTAATTCTTCCATACATTTCAATTTTTTTCAAGAGCAAAAACAAGCATAATACTCTCTCTAATCTGAGAGTCTCCAGCCCTCTTTCTTTCTTGGTCTGGAGTTTCCTGCTTTTTTGGTTGCAAGCCTTGATCAAATAGCCACAGAGAAGGTGGTTAGTGTCTGCTTTTTTAACTACTTCAAAAAAAATCTTGACATCTAAAACTGTTCAACTAAAAGTACACGCACAGTAACCATTTGACAACCTCAAATCTCGAAATGCTAACCACTTAGTTCAAAGGCTAGAAAAATAAACTAGCTCGATTCAGGTGGTATCTCAAGTTATAACACTGCAATAACAAAGGGGGGAAGACATCTGAAATGTTCTACACACAAATGAAGAAGCACTCCTTAAAAATCAAAATCATATACACGATATGATATGAACACTTCAGCTCAAAAATGTTAGTTTCGAAACGCGTAACTTGTGTACTTTTCTGTTAGGTTTGTTCCGGTTTATTATTTCTTCGTTGGTTAATGATTATTACTTAATAAGTTCCTATTTCAATCAGTTTCATTTAAGCACATGTACCAGATTTCATCGCTATAAGTTGCTGTCGACGCCACCAATTTTGTCTGCCATTCATGTACGATCCGCTATCGGCGATTCATCTACAATCATTAGGAGCTAAACCAAAGTAAGATCACACAAATTCAGCTACAACGTGACGATCAATCGTAACTTCGCCATCTTCAACTTTACTTCGCCCTCTTGACATCTGTGATTTCACACCGATCTCCTTATTTCCGTTTGTAATTTTTTTTACGTACTTCATTTGATTAAAACGTGATTTATATTGTGCGTTCGGATTGTCTTCTCCGCTACACTAGTAACCTTTGAAGGTTACAAAAAATTCGGCAACTATAAATGTTGCAACTTTAGCCTCCATATTTTATCTCCTCTTGCCACGTGGCGACCTTGCTGATCTCACCTTGGAGCGCATTCATGGAAGAAAGTTTTTTTATTTAACCAATTAAGAGTTCGGGAATCAAAAGTTCTTGTAAGGCTTTCAGATTTTTCAATTGCATTTTAGAGATAAGGGCCACAATAGACACAACAGAACTAACTTTTTGAGACTTCTGTTTTCAGCCATATTTACTTACCAACTTCTGTCTCTGTTAAGAAGTAGGGACAAAGTCGTCCATTACGATCCTCTCCCACTACACCAATGACATGACACTTGTCTATAATGATTGGGGATCCAAGGATGGAAGATTTCTCAAAAATACAATACTTCTTGTCAGAACATTTAAGTTCGTGCTTTCCCCTGTCGTACTTGAAAGTGAATTTTACGATATCTTTGCATCCGATGAATGAGTGTGCAGAGACTTCTTTACTCTTTTCAACACTTCCTAGAACTTTCAACTTAAGAATTCCAAAATCTATATTGGGCGTCCGTGCGTCGCCTCGTTTTACTGAAATGAACGAGCAAATGTCAGTTTGCTTGATCTGTGACATTTCGAACCGATAGTTTTTCTGGTCATTAAAAAATTCTTTTGAACACCGATGCAATCTTATTGGCTTAGCTTTATCGTCTTCGTTGATTACATTGTGCCAAGTTACCAAACGTTTCTTCCCTCCGACTTCAACGGCACAAGCCATTCCTCTTGTTTTGTAGATTATAGGGATGTCTCCAGATGTGTGAACAACTTCCCTTACTGCAAAGATGGCCTCCTCGAGGTTTGGGTCTTTCCCATAAGCCATCCCTTGTTCGACGAGTCCTGACTTTTTCTTCGGTTGACGAACGGCCATGTGGAACTTATTACAAATTTCCAGAGGTTTGGTGAGACCAAGGTTTGGTGAGACCAAGGTTTGGCTGAATCTCAGCGTGTATACGATGCAATTGCTTCCAGATAAAGCTTCCACCCACTTTTCGATGGACTTACACGGCAGCTTGCGTGCGCATAGCGGAAGTTAGCTGAAGTAGCAGTACTAGTAAAGACTTCCGCTTGAAAATTTGCCAACACGTCAATTTTGCCCGTTCAGCATCGTTCTGTGTTTTCAGCGGGTATATACGCCATGGCTGAATGCCGTATAGACGACAAAATGGCTGACAATATTCGTGTTATAGGTTTCATGTAAGACTTCCAATATGTCCTAGTTATCCTTATTCTACCACATTAACCCCTTTTACCTTAAGTTAACCTTGTTGTACCAATTCAACACACACTTACCGCAAGTTAGCCATGCCCTACCGCGATAACCCACATCTACCCTGAGTTAAACACGTTCTACCCCGTTAACCCCCATCTACCCTAAGTTAACCATGTTCTACCACTTTAAACTCCATCTACTCTAAGTTAGCCATGTTCTACCACGTTAACCAACATCCACCCTAAGTTAACCATGTTGTACACCGTTAACCCACATCTATCTATCCCCCCATTGTACTCTTAGTTAACCATGTTGACACCACGTTAATTCACATCTATCCTAAGTTAACCGTGTTCTACCACGTTAACCCACATCTACCCTAAGTTAGCCATGTTCTACCACGTTAACCCACATCTACCCTAAGTTAACCATGTTCTACCACGCTAACCCACATCTACCCTAATTTAACCATGTTCTACCACGTTAACCCATATCTACCCTAAGTTAACCATGTTCTACCACGTTAAACTCCATCTACTCTAAGCTCGCCATGTTCTACCACGTTAAACCTCATCTACCCTAAGTTAGCCATGTTGTACCACGTTAACTCACATCTACCCTAAGTTAGCCATGTTCTACCACGTTAACCCACATCAACCCTTAGTTAACCATGTTCTACCACGTTAACCCACATCTACCCTTAGTTAACCATGTCCTACCTCGCTAACCCATTTCTACCCTTAGTTAACATGTTCTACCACGTTAACCCACATCAACCCTTAGTTAACCATGTTCTACCGTACCACGTTAACCCACATCAACCCTTAGTTAACCATGTCCTACCTCGCTAACCCATATCTACCCTTAGTTCACATGTTCTACCACGTTAACCCACATCTACTCTAAGTTAGCCATGTTCTACCTCGTTAACCCACATCTACCCTAAGTTAACCATGTTCGACCTCGTTAACCCACATCTACCCTAAGTTAACCATGTTTTACCTCGTTAACCCACATGTACTCTAAGTTAGCCATGTTCTACCTCGTTAACCCACATCTACCCTAAGTTAACCATGTTCTACCAAGTTAACCCACATCTACCCTAAGTTAACCATGTTCTACCACGTTAACCCACATCTACCCTAAGTTAACCATGTTCTACCTCGTTAACCCACATCTACCCTTAGTTCACATGTTCTACCACGTTAACCCACATCTACTCTAAGTTAGCCATGTTCTACCACGTTAACCCATGTCTACCCTTAGTTACCCATGTTCTACTACGTTAACTCACATCTACCCTAAGTTAGCCATGTTGTACCACGTTAACCAACATCTACTCTAAGTTAGCCATGTTCTACCACGTTAACCCACGTCTACCCTTAGTTAACCATGTTCTACCAAGTTAACCCACATCTACCCTAAGTTAGCCATGTTCTTCCACGTTAACCCACATCTACCCTTAGTTAACCATGTCCTACCTCGCTAACCCATATCTACCCTTAGTTCACATGTTCTACCACGTTAACCCACATCTACTCTAAGTTAGCCATGTTCTACCACGTTAACCCATGTCTACCCTTAGTTAACCATGTTCTACTACGTTAACCCACATCTACCCTAAGTTAGCCATGTTGTACCACGTTAACCAACATCTACTCTAAGTTAGCCATGTTCTACCACGTTAACCCACGTCTACCCTTAGTTAACCATGTTCTACCAAGTTAACCCACATCTACCCTAAGTTAGCCATGTTCTACGACGTTAACCCACGTCTACCCTAAGTTAACCATGTCCTACCTCGCTAACCCATATCTACCCTTAGTTAGCCATGTTGTACCACGTTAACCAACATCTACTCTAAGTTAGCCATGTTCTACCACGTTAACCCACGTCTACCCTTAGTTAACCATGTTCTACCAAGTTAACCCACATCTACCCTTAGTTAACATGTTCTACCACGTTAACCCACATCAACCCTTAGTTAACCATGTTCTACCACGTTAACCTACATCTACCCTTAGTTAACCATGTTCTACCACGTTAGCCCACATCTACCCTAATTTTGCCATGTTCTTACCACATTTTGACGTCATCTGTGATCTATTACTGAACAGACGCACGGCAACTTGGAATCTATTTGTTAAGTAGATGTGGGTTAACGTGGTAGAACATGGTCAACTAAGGGTTGATGTGGGTTTACGTGGTACAATGTGGTTAACTAAGGGCAGATGCGGGTTAACGTGGTAGAACATGGTTAACTTAGGGTAGATAGGGGTTAAGGTGGCAGGACAGGGTTCACTAAGTGTAGATATGGGTCATCGCGGTGGAAACTGACTAACTTAGGATAGATGTGGGTTAACGTGGTACAACATGGTTAACTAAGGGTAGATGTGGGTTAACGTGGTACAATGTGGTTAACTTAGGGTAGATGTGGGTTAACGTGGTAGGACATGGTTAACTTAGGGTAAATGTGGGTTAACGTGGTAAGACAGGGTTAAATTAGGGTAGATGTGGGTTAACATTGTACAACATGGTTAACTAAGGGTAGATGTGGGTTAACGTGGTAGAACATGGTTCAGTAAGTGAAGATGTGGGTCATCTCAGTGGAACGTGGTTAACGTGGTACAACATAGCTAACTTAGGGTAGATGTGGGTTAACGTGGTAGGACATGGTTAACTTAGGGTAAATGTGGGTTAACGTGGTAAGACAGGGTAAAATTAGGATAGATGTGGGTTAACATTGTACAACATGGTTAACTAAGGGTAGATGTGGGTTAACGTGGTAGAACATGACTAACTTAGGGTAGATGTGGGTTAACGTGGTAGGACATGGTTGACTAAGGGTAGATGTGGGTTTACGTGGTAGGACATGGCTAGCTTAGGGTAGATGTAGGTTAACGTGGTTAACTTAAAGTAGATGGGGATTAACGTGGTACAACATGGTTAACTTAGGGTAGATGGGGGTTAACGTGGTACAACGTGGTTAACTTAGAGTAGATGGGGGTTAACGTGGTACAAAATGGTCAACTTAGTGTTGATGTGGGTTAACGTGGTAGAACATGGTTAACTAAGGATAGACGTGGGTTAACGTGGTAGGACATGGTTAACGAAGGGTAGACGTGGGTTAACGTGGTAGAACATGGCTAACTTAGGGTAGATGTGGGTTAACGTGGTAGAACATGGATAAATTAGGGTAGAAGTGGGTCAACGTGGTAAGACATGGTTACCTTGGGGTAGATGTGGGTTAACGTGGTAGAACATGGTTAACTTAGGGTAGATGTGGGTTAACGTGGTACAAAATGGCTAACTTAGGGTAGTTGAGGGTTAACATGGTACAACATTGTTAACTAGGTGCGGAAGTGGGTTATCGTGGTCAAACAATGTTAACTAGGATATATCGTAAACCATACATGAAGTCTATACTATGAAAGTTGTCAGCCATTTTATCGTCTATTTCTGTTGTAAAGCACGCAGGAAGAGGTTAGAGAACGAAAGAAGTGTCGGGAGAAACACGAGACGTAGTCGAGTGTTTCTACCCACTTCTTGCGTGCTCTAACCGCTTCCTAAGTGCTTTACAACAGATCAGAGCACATTCAAGGCTTCTCTATTTGTTTTATAGTAAAGAATTCATTAACCATTAGCTCTAACCGCTTCCTAAGTGCTTTACAACAGATCAGAGCACAGTCAAGGCTTCTCTATTTGTTTTATAATAAAGAATCCATTAAATTCCTCGCGCATTACTTTCAATTTACGAAATTTTAATTACAAAGCGAACAACAGTGTCGTTAGCATGCTCTATACTCTTATAAAGCACGCCACAATAAGCCAATCATAATCGTTGTTATAATAGTTCAAATAGTTTGATTGGCTGTACTAGACTAAAGCTGTCAAAAATGTCAAACCCTCAAAGTTAAAAAACCATCAAAGTTTATATTCTGCGGCAATTGTTTACTAACTTAATAGTTTGGCAGGTCGAATCTAACACTTTTACCTGAAGTATTTTAGTCCCTTATACAGAATGTGGAGGTGAAATGTTCGGTGAAATCCAGCCGAATTGTGGCTCACAAAAACACGCAAATTATTTCACATGACAAATTTGGCTATGTTTTTATCATTTCTGTTTTGTTCTGTTTTGTTTTTGAACTCGAACTTTATATACTATGCGAGTTTTAGTTGTGTTTGATTTTTATTACCACTCTTAAGCTTGCAATCTAACTGAGCGTGAAAACTTTCAAAACTCGGACTGTCCATTTCGTTTTCTCTTTGAGGATTTTCGTCTCTGCTCGCGTTATAATAACGTCAATTACGGCACCTGGCATGTTTATAAAACTTTGTTTGGTTGTTCTGCTGCTACTTGCCGACTCGCTTGTTTCGAAATTTCACTTTCAATTAACGAAAAAAGGTAGAGAAAAGTCCCAGAAAAGGTCGGACATAGTCCAATTTGGCAGATGGCGTGGCAGCTTTAGCTCAGCTCTATGCTCTACACTCTCATACAGCATGCTCTTTCAGCCAATGACAGCGCGCGTTATATGTACCTTTCAGCGCGCCTCCGCTGGATCGTCACCGGTCGTTAGATAATGGCGTAATATATGACTAACAGTCTATAGACTGTACGATTTTACGCCACTATCACATCGCCAGAAATCAAGGTCATT